TCTCGGACCTAACGAGTCCGCACGAGCGCGGGTGTGGAACACAGGGACGGGTCATAGGTCAGAGGACCGTCTAATGTCTATCCGTCGTAAGCTGGACAGACTCACTGCCTCCAGTGTACGTTAAGTTATTTAATTTAGTTACTCGTCATTTAAAATAATATAAATATTCTTATAAATGCTTTTATGCCATTGTGAACAGGTGCAATGGACGCCATACGGCAGCTCATGGCCAGATGAGATAGAGCAGAGGACTCTTTATTGCGGACTGATTCGGTACCGCGATATTGTGGAGCCGTACTATCCTGTACGGTTTCTGCGGCAGTTGGGGTATGTCCAGACCATCCCTCCCCCTATACAGACGCCGACCGCTGTAAACCGTGCTTAGCAGGTAGTATAGATGATTATTTAGAATTTTATACACGATTAATTAGAATTTTATAATCGTGAATGATTAACTAACAATTATTACTGTGCTTGGCAGTTGAGGCTGTACAAAGTCGAGCATCCTGATGTCGACGCAGTAAATATGTGGAACCAGTTCCCGATGTTGCAGACTGTCAACACCAGCTTGTGTAGGGTCGCCACAGATGATCGAGAGGAGGCCGATCCGGAGTACTTGCTGTGGTACCGTCGGGTTTCTCATCCTACTGTCTTGGGCGAGGGTCTGCCTGACGAGAGAGAGGTCCCTACGCGTGGGAACACCGACTATGTAAGACATTCGCAAGCTTTTAATTAATAATATTTGATTAGAATAAATTTTATTTTAATAAATAATGAACATATATTCTTATTCTTATTTTTTTTGTTTTGTAGTGGATGGACCGTGCTTTGACTCTTACCTCGAGGACTCTGCGGGGTTTAACAGCTCATGATCCTATGCAGGCGGCGCAGTTAACAGACGAATTGGCTAAGCTTAATTTGGATTACGCCAATTCCAAATAAATGTGTAATGATGTTATGAAAACTTATGATGTTTTGTTTTTTTGTTTTTTGTCAAACATTATGCGTATCAGACGAATTTTATCAAACATGATGTTTTTTTTTTGTCAATCATTATTGTTATCATCCCACACGACTAGTGTGACCCGGTGACACGGGTTGAGCATATGTTTTTTTTTTATAAACAAGAATAAAATGAAAGCATATAATGAAAAAAAACATAATCTTTTTAAAGTTCCCAACAACATAAAACCGAACATCGAATGAAAGAAAATATGTCATACATCAGGGGTTATTTTGAGCATCAAACCATAATTGCAACCTAGACTGGTACCGATTCTCCAAATTCTCCACCGAAGAAGTTCGGTGTCTGAACTAGGGCTGGTATCGGTTCGGTTACCGAACCGATAACCGAAAACCGATACCGAACCGAATATATTCGGTTTGACTAATATGCAAAGCGAAACCGAACCGATAAGAATTTGGTAACCGATCTGTCGGTTACCGAAAATCGGTTCGGTTTCGGTTCATACCGACAAAAACCGAAAAAAACCGAAAAAGAGCATGAAATGTTAACAGAGGCAGTATCTTGATAAACCTGACTACCTGAGGCATGAAATGAGAGGCATTTCAAAAAGAGGTATGATAAAGATAAACCTGCACAAAACCAAAATTTGAGGTTTCTTTTTTTTTTTTTCTTTTCTTTCCAACAGAGGCATGAAACAGAGGCAAAATTATGATTCAACATTACTTCAAAAACTGA